TTTATGGAAGTTCCATTGAAGTTAAAAACTGTTTATTTTAGGAGGGGTGTCTTGTGGTATTGCCCCTTCAGTCCTCAGTTGGGTGACGCAGTCTGAATTTACTGCTTTTAGATGAGATCATGTAATTTTGAAACAAAAACCGGTTTACATCTCTATTTCTACATGAACCCATACAGAGCTGTACTGCATTTGCTTTTTGCTTTTTTAAATGAATAAATGGCCAGTTTTTTTAAAAAAAATGTCACCATGTTTTCATTTATTTTATGCATGGAAAAACTTCAAGTTCTCATCAAATTCTGATCACAGATGTTCATATTTTTCTTGACTAATTTGGGTAATGTACATAAGCATATATACTGTGTGTACATCAGTGTATAAAATTATATGCTTGCTATTATATATTAGATTTCATTAGATAGTAAGCTGCTTTTTAAGCTTCCTTTATTGTTTCACCAATATATTGATAACTAACAATCAGATTTTTTAGTTCTGTAATGATTATTGCTGTGTATTTTTTTGGCTTTTGTTGCTATTTTTGGTTACCTTTTCTTAATTCTATTCTACTTTCAAAGTAGAATACGATTCTGTGAGTTAAATTTTTAACTATTATTACTGAAGAAAGACCCCATTTACTCTGGAGTATATCTATCAACATTACTCATTACTTTTACCTGCTCCCGATAATTTAATCTGCAATAATACTGCAATTCTATACTTGGTTCCCTGGGAATAAGCCTCCTTAACTTCAGCAGAGCTTACTTGTATGTAGATATGTATAGGACTGCACTATTCCACTTATCAGCATAGCTTTCTGCCTGGGTTATTAAATTTAATCAGAATTAAAATGACTGCTTAAATAACTTCCATTGATTTCTTTGAAAATAGCAACGATAATTTGAGAGGGAATTTTGCGCAAAGAGGAAATATAAAGCTGATTTTCTAAAACGTGATAGCTCCAGAGAATGAAAAATTACTGTGTGTGTGTACTGTGCACACCATTTACTTGGGTGAGAGTAAAGGGGAGAAGATTTAGATAAATGGGGACACACAGACTTACTAATCGTGATGAGATGCTAATGAGACTTGCGTAGCACAGGATGTCAAGATAGCCAAATAAAACAGGAAAATTGATGACTTTAAGAATGTTTGATTTCTAAATTGTCTTGCAAACCGGGGAAATTGATTTTTTTTTTAAATATATTCAATCCGACAGACTTTTCTTTTTTTATAAAAATATCAGCTACAGGCAGTTGAAGGAGATTTTGAAATTTCAACCAATATGAGGTCTGGAAGGTTGGTTACTTTGAATTTTTCTACTCCTTCCTCCCCTCTTGTTTGCTTTTCTTTTTTAAATTTTTTTTATGAATGAACAGTATCTCCTACATCATAAAGTTAAGAAGCTTGAAAACTCCCCTCCCATTCCATATTAAAAGGCATACACAATTAGCCTATTGTAATTTCAGCCACATGTCTCACTTTAGCAAGCAGTGATGTTAAGGAAATGCCAAGACACATTTTTAGAATTTTATCTATTTTCTGACTTCCATTCATTATGCTCCTTATTTGTGCCTAGGTTCATTTCTGGCTCTTCCGATCCTTTTACCTTATCTTCCTTTGTGTGTGCGTGTTTTAATATTTTGACACTGTGCTCCCACCTAATAGGAATTCTTTTTGAGAAAGGATGCATATGTTGTCTAAAGGAGTCTTTTCACAGCCCTCGGTTTTTCCTTTCCCTTTTGGCTCTAAAATTATGTATATGTAATTGGTAATTAAAGGTGCAAGCTCTCTTCAATATAAACAGTATTGCTCAATGTTAGATCATTAAAGGGAACAGAAGCACTAAATAATTACCTTTTGCATTGTGACAAACCGTTCGCACAGAAATCCACTCACTTCCCGCTCAGCACTAGGGTTATGATTACATTTTCACGATGGCAAAAGAGTCCTTTCATAAAATAAATTGGTAAATTAATTACGTTGCATTGTCTACCAGCCTCTTTTAAAGTAAACTTTGAGGAAAGGATGGAGGGAAAGTAATTAATGGGTTTCACACACCATGCATTATGCCTAGTGTTTGAGTTACCTAGTGGATTAATTTGGCTACAAGTAAGTACAGGAAACTCAGAAGCTTTCATGCATGCATCTCCTATTCCTTAGGCTGACTTCTTGTTCATCCACCTCCATTAATTGTAACAAGAAGGCAGTTAGCGTGGGTTTAATCTGAAGTACTATGAATCCAACAAAGCCCAAGTTCTGATGCATTCAGTTATTTTTCTTACATGCATACCTCCTATGTAAAAATGGCAAAACTGCATTTGACTACATTCATATACTAATTGGCAATATTTTTTCAGAAACAGGAATTAGATGCCTTTTGATCTAATTAAAACTGGGGGGATTAGCCTCCTGGTTAGATAGTTTCCCTTTTATTATTAGAAAACAAAAAAAAATCAAATAAAAATAAATAGCAGTTTTAAGAACTGCCTAGGCGAATTTCCCATTCGGTTCAGGGATTGCAATTCAGAAGTATGACAAATGTTTTACATTGTCCTGCTGCTTTTAGATCTCCAGGAAATTTGGAAACAAATCACCAATGCCAGTATTTCCATGTGTTCATTTTTTTCCCCTGCGGAGTTTCACTATTCCCTTCTCTTGATAAAACTTCAATGGCTCATCTCTTTTATTTACATGTCGTTAATTCACTGTGCATTGATCAGGCCAAATGATAAAATTCTTGTTAGAGCAAAACCCTGCCAGCCATTGGGAATTGTGCCTGATTGAGGTTCATATTTCGTGTGGTTTTGCAGTTAGCCTGCTTTAGAAAACAAAACAAAACAAAACAAAAGTTTATTGCACCCTACTAATATCGTGAACTAGCTATATTAAGTACATTATTATCTTCTGCAAACACAAGATTGTCCCAAAATTCTAGTTATATTAAGTAATGAGAGGATATCACACATAATAGTGTTGGTATCCAATAGTTAATAACAAGTAAAGAAATAACTATCAAAATGTTGAGCATTCTGAAGGCTATCTATATAAATAAAATTTGATCAGTGCAGACCATGGTGTGAATTGAATTGGGAATCAACTCTTTCCCATTTAATTTTCAATATTTTAAGATAATATTTATGGACTGAAGTTGAGAACTGTTAATTGAGCAAATTTCATTTTCTTTCAGCTAATAAGTTGGATGGCATTATATTTTAACCAAATAAATTTGAACTGAAATGTTTTTTTAAAATGTTTGATATTTTCATCAGTTTGTCTTTTGGTTCTTTATAAAAGGATTCTCTGAACCTGGAAGCATGGTTTAGCTGTTAATGTTTTCCTGAGAAAATTAAAGTCATTTTAAGGAAACCTAACTGTGTGAAAGCCTGTTTTCATGGGTGGCATTTGAGAGACTGAATCTAGGGAGCCATTCATTCTGGACAAACGCCATGATACATCCACAAACCAGTCTATAAGCTCAGCGTGCATTCTCAGATGGGGCATTAAAAAATCAGCCAGAGATTGCAGGTGTGGGATGGGGTACATTTTCATTCTTGATTGTGTGGCTTGGCAAGTTGGGGTACCATTTTCCCCACCTGAGCATTTAAGAAATGTAGGGGACAGAACAAAGCACGATCAGTGTGTTTTGGGTGTGGGATCAGTTCTCTGCCTTTTCTCTTAAGGCAAATGGACGTGTCACTTTTTGCTGCTTGTAGACCTCAGGCTTGCTTTGTGGGTAGGGTTGATAGAGACAGTCTTCCTGCTCAAGACAAGCCCAAAATCTTGTGACTGTCTTGTGCTGCCTTCCCAGAGATTGCAGACATCAGGAACCACAGAAACTTGTTCTCTAAACTGGTTTTGGCAAATTTGTATAAATCTCCTTCAGGCATCATTGCTGTCACCTTCTCAATACAATAGTGATTGAAAAATCCTGTCCCTGGAATGGATTTCATCTTGGGAAAGACAGGCTTACCATGCCAGGAATTGGAGGCAAAACAGCTCCTCCTCCTGTGGTCATCCTGAAAAGGTGATGAAGTAAAACAGCAGTCAGATCAAACTCACTTGTATAAGATGCATGTGGTGCCCCCAAACCCCTCTGCTTTCTGGAAGCATGATTCCGCCCTATATTTTTAATAAATCCTGTGAGATAATTCATTTCACTGTGATGCACTGAGCACTGTTTCTATTCAAATTCATTTTGAACAGGTGCCTGCTTGTTGCCAAAGCTTTTCATGGTTATTTGACATGGCTACTGCTGCCTTGTTAGGTTAATCAGCCTCTTCACTATATTTGTAAGTCCAATGTATTGCATATTCATTGCTTCCAACAGTCCTTGGAATGGTGGCCACGGAATGGACTCAGTTAAAAAATGTTTTGGAGGGTGAGTCAGTGAGTGAGCTATAAAAAGCTAGAAATATGGTAGAAGTTCCAAGAATATCACAATACAACAAGCTGAATTTTACAACTACTTCTTTTTTGAAAAAGCAACACTATATGATCAATAAATTGTTCAAAAGTATCAGAAAAATCAGTAATATAAAATACTTTCAATGGCATTCTTTTAATGGTGGGTTTCCATAGTCAAATAGTTCAGTGTTGTTCCTTGCTTTATAAAGAAAAAAATATGCTTGATTAGAATTGTTTACCTCAATCATGGATTCTGTAACGACTTGATGTAAATCTCTGGTTCTGTCCAATGCATCCTACCAGTTCTAGTTCTGGAAGTGATTAACAGGTCTCTACTGTCCCCTGTTACTAATCTATTACTGTGGAGTTTGATGGTTGATTCAGAAAAACCTAATTAGATATGCTTATTTTGTTTTGCAGACAGACTTGATTGCAAAATGTACTCAGATCACTTATGGAGACAAGCAGGGTGGGAAATAGATAAAAAAGAATACAACTATATGAATATTTAAACCAATTGCTCTCAATTATTTTTCCTTTTTTTTTCTTTTTCCCTTTCTCCCTGACCCTCGCCTTTTTTGGGTTTCCGAACGAAGCAGAGGCTGACCACGTGGACACTGCCATCATCACCCATGAGGACGAGAGCCTAACACTAGGAGAGCCGATTGGGCTCAGCATTGCGTTGGGTGGAACAGACCCTGACCTATTAACCTGTGGACAGTGTCAGATGAACTTTCCCCTGGGAGACATCTTGGTTTTTATAGAGCACAAGAAGAAACAGTGCCATGGCGCTGGTGGTGCCTGCTATGAAAAGAACGTGGATAAGAGCAGTCCTCCCCCTCCATCACGCTCCGAGCTCAGGAAAGTGTCAGAGCCAGTGGAAATCGGGATCCAAGTCACACCCGATGAAGAAGACCATGTTCTCACGCCTACAAAAGGAATTTGCCCCAAGCAGGAGAACATTGCAGGTATAGCATGTTTTATGTTCATTCATCTGTAGAGGTAAAAATGAGAGACAGGCTTCTTGACAGAATAAAAAATGTAAGATTGCCTGTGAGCAGTGCATAAGGCCATAACAGACTTTGAGGATCCTCTTGATTCTAAACCTCAGAACCAGTTGATCTCAGTTTGTAAAGGGTTTAGTTGGATCCTTGGATTGTGGAATGTCCTCTGAAGATCTGCTTGTTTTGAGTGATAACTTTTAATCTGTTTTGTGTCAGAGGTTCCATATAACAGGCTGTTATTCCCTAGCCTGAGAAGTCAGATATTGTCCCTTAAGTCATCTTATCCCATCTTTGCTTGCATTCAATAATTCATTAAGACTTTCTACTGATAATTATCAGCTCTGTGAATTGGCACGGACTCTTGAGGCCTAGGTACTTACTTTTACATTTTGTACCCCCCCAAGACAAAAAGATCATAGAAATTAATTTTTTTAGAACACTTATTTGAACTTTTCCAATGAGAATGGTGTCATCATGATGATAGTTGTCTAATTTTTAGCTTTGAATAGTAGCCAAAGGGTACACATAAGGGTAGAGAGAATTGCAGTGAAAAGCAATGATGCATAATAAGGGATGGAGACCTCACATATGTGGAGAGGGTCTTTTTTTTCTTTCTTTCATGGGTTGGAGGTTTTTTTTTTTAAAAAAATAACCATGTTGAGCTTACTTTAGGAAATATGGCAGAGTTAGTGTCCAGGCAGAAGAATATCAGGACTATATAAGAAGATAAGACATTGTTGAATTTTAAAATAGTTTAATAGAGATGCATTTAGTGTATGCTTTCCAGAACTTATATGGAACACCAGGAAAACAGGGCAGTTGCTCAATGGGAATGCAATATATTTCTGAAGAAAGGGATAGTTAGGAGCTACAACTATAAAAAAGTTTAATTTGCATAATCCTTTCTTCCTGGTTTGTCTGTTGTTCATATGTATGTGAGTGTGCCCTCCCCCACATATATTAAAAGTTTTAAAGAGAACATAAACATTAACACAAACTAATCCAGAATAAAGAAAACAAAGAAAGAAAAAGAGAAAGAAAAGAAAAAAAGACATAAATGTAGAAAGAAAGAAATAAAAATAAAAAGGAGGGCTTCTAATTTCCTTTGTAGAAAACATGATTGCAAAGTTACTTCTAATCATATAATTAAAAAAGCTCACTGTCTTCTATTATTCATTTTTTCTAATCATTAAAATCACAACTCATAAGTACAGTTTTTCTGTTTCAAGCAAAAACTCTATAAGAGTTTCCAGTTAGCCTTAAGTGCATATATTGTCTTTTCTGTAACCAAGGAAGTCAGTTTAGCCATCTCTGCAAGTTATATCATCTTCACCTATTGTGGTAAAGTGGCGAGTGTCTATTGTGGATAGTGTCAAACTTTTCCACTCTTCGAGCATATAGTAATCTCACTGCAGTTCTCATATATGCTGTAAAACAAACTTACATGACTTTTTTCTAGTTGTGTCTCCTTTAATCTCAAAAGTCAAGTCTTCGGTTTCTATCGTAAATTTGTCCTTAAAACTGAATTAGAGTATTTATTTGTATCCAATTTTTTTGTAACTTTATTTCGCATCCACCATAAAATGTCCTTCATGTTGTTCACATGTTGTTTGAGTTAGGCTATTGTTCCGGTGGGGTGATCTTATGATTTTAAAGTGAAGATTTTATAGGTTTTTACCCATACAAATCTGCTGTTCTCTACCGCATTCTTAGTTTTGCGTTGCAGACACAGCAGTACAAATGAGGAAATTGGATGCTTCTGGCTTACCTAGAACTGATCTTATTGACTTCATAGCCTTTGAACAGGTCTGCGGCTTCTGATGTTTAGGTTTCCCAACTGTTTTTAACAAAAAAAAGGGTTGTATAAATAATTATGCATGCTTTGTTTCTGAAATTATTTTTTTGCTAGTTAAGAATAAAATGAATGTGAACTTGTCTGAGGCCACAAGAACACAATATTTTTTATTTCTACAGTGTTTGGGACATTCTTGTAAGCATGGGCATGTAAAGGCCTTCTTGAGACTGTGTTCAGAAAATGAGTAGCCTGCACTTACTCAGCAGATGACCATAATATTAAAGAGCAAGAGGCTGACTTGCTGAGAGAAATTGTCTTGTTTTTTTTTTTCCTTTTAAGCCCTGGATAGTTATCATAAACGTACTTGGCCACTAGTCAAGCTGAAATCAATTTAATCTTATTTTAACAGAACCAGCTGCAGCTGAATGAATTGTCTCTAGCAGGATAGGAACCTTGACAACTTGCCAGTCAATTTAAAGTTGCTGGGAGTTATAGGCATAAAAGGTCTATAGCTCAGGAACTTCTGGAAAACCCTGGACTCTGATTGGCAGAGAGACAATGGCTTTTGTGTTAGATTTGTTTTGTTTTTAGAAACGTCTAGTCTCCCATTTTTCTATTGTTTTGGCTTTAGCATGCTTTGTCTGGATAATTCCTAGGCCTTGGAGGAAGATTTCCCTGGCATTTTGAGGTAGGACTAGAAAAGACTCTTGTCTGAAACCATGCATAATACCCAACACAGATATCTACTAGAAAAGATTCCTATATTGTCTTATAAAATATATATCCCACATTTTCACTTATACAGGTAATCCTCGATTTACACCACAATTGACCCCCAAATTTCCATTGCTTAGCAAGGCAGATATTAAGTGAATTTTGCCCTGTTTTACAACCTTTCTTTCCACAGTTGTTAAATGAATCACTGTCGTTAAGTTAGTAACATGGTTGTTAAGTGAATCTGGCTTCTTCATTGACTTTGCTTGTCAGAAAGTCACAAAAGGTGATCACATGACCCCAGAACACTGCAGCCGTCATAAATACATGCCAGTGGCCAAGTGTCTGAATTTTCATCATATGACCATAGAGATGCTGCAATGGTTATAAGTGTGAAAAACAACTGTGAAAAATAAGTCATTTTTTTAGTGCCTTTGAATGGTCGCAAAATAAATTGTTATAAGTGAAGGACTATCTGTAGTGACTCTTAAGTTAGACTTCCTAATGCCAAAGCATAAGGCACTGAATCTCTATATTAAATTTGGACGATATGACAACTTCAGTGTTAAGCAAAGGTGGTATTCAGCAGATCCTGACCAGATCTAGAGAACTGGTAGTGGAAATTTTGAGTAGTACAGAGAACCGGCAAATACCACCTCTGATTGGAGATTTTACAGTATCCTTCCCCTGCCACGCCCACCAAGCCACACCCACAGAACCGGTAGTAAAAAAAATTGAATCCCACCACTGAGTGTAAGGTAGCCTAAATCTACTTTTAGGGGTAAAATTGTCACTTTGCGTCAGGCTTGAGTCTTGGGAATTACATGAAAAACTCCATGCAGCTTGCTTGGCAACATTTTTGAGTGTAATTTGCTGTTATTTCCTTCCTAGGTCTGACAAAGAGAATCTATGAAGCCTCTTAATTGGCTTCATGCCTAAGTCAGAACCTGAACTCATACTCTTCCAGTTAACAGTACAACATATTTAATAGCTACACCAAGGCATTACAATAGAAGCAGAGAGATGTGAGTTTTACTCTTGCCTTGAGTATGGGTACCAACAGGGTGATTTGGGGCTACTCATTTCTCAGTAGGGAGCAAATGGCAATCCCTTCTGAAAATATTGCCAAGAAAACTGCAGAGACTTGTTCCTATAATCACCAAGAATCAAGACTGACTCAAAGGCACCCCCCCCCCCCAAAAAAAAAACAACTTTACACAAGCATCATCTGTATAACTTGATTGGTAAAAGAGTTGCATAAATTTGTCCTTGACTTTCAGACTTCACAATCACAGGGCAGCTATGGAATTCACTTTCAAATTATGTTAAGTTATTTATATCTGCACATTTACACTTGGACCTTTAAAGGTTAGTTTTTCCTTATATGCTGAGTTTAGTTTTGGACCCTATCCCAACCTTTTAAAATAAGAGATGCCTGTTGAATATACAGTGGAATCCCTTTGTAGTTTGTCCATCAAAAATGACATAAAGAGCTTTGAGCTGAACTTGCTCCTCCTGGATTTAAAGAACATGTCCGTAGGATTTGCTTGGCAAGAATATACCAATAGTTTGAGATTGTCTTGTCTTTCTAGGATAGGCCTGAAATTCTCTGAAAGTCTCCATCCAACCTACTGATCAGGCCTAACCACCTTCAACTTCCAAGTCCAGATACCTATTCACAGCCTCTTCCCCAAAGGTTACTATTGGGTCATTAAGTGACAGTTAAATGCATACTTTATTTGTGCACTCTGCGTAGTGCTTTTTAAAATTCAGAAAGAACAGAGACAGGTTATCGTAGTAATGCAGAATCTCAGAAATAGGAAACAGTGAAGTGTTTATCTTTCATGATGTTGTGAAAAGTAATCCTTTTGAACTTGCAGTTTGGATGATGAGGAATTCCTCTTTGACCAATACAAATATTAGCTTTGAGAGAGTGAGTCTCATCAGAAATAGTATGGAAGAAAATAATTAAACGTCTCCTTTTTCTCACTAGAATCTGCTATGATTCCTCCCCAAAACAGTCATTTGTATTCTTTTAAGAAGCATGATGCAAAGATGTGCTTAATATAAATTCTAGTTTCACCCTTTTCACATCTTATAAGAGGGAAAACTCAGAGGAAGAGATATGAACTGGTTTGGCTCTTAAAGGCAGGAGAACACGAAAACCAAATTTAAACTTTGCTTCAATGATTTCCCTGATTTATTTTTGTACTGCATTTATGTCCTGTAGGGGCTCAAGACTGTAAATGGTGATTACTCCTCCTTTTATCCATTCAATAACAAGCTTGACAGGTATGCAGTTATCCAGTGAGCTCCTTGGTTAAGTATGGATTTGAATTTGAATCTCCTTGGTCCCTGTCCAGCTGCTTAACTACCATACGTACTGACTCTCCTGGGTAATCCTTTGCTTTCTTGTATAAACATGAAGACTTGACATTCATTTCCATGGGAAAAA